AAATTTAGAAAATGACATACACTTGTTTGTGACATTTAGAAAAGGTAATTAGTAACAGTATATATGAAGTAATTAACAATGTGCACAATAACGGCAAAACATAGGTTTTGCAGGATGAGAAAAGATGAGGAAAACTGATTACATAAAGTTAATAAGTTCTTAATGTCTATTTTAAATTGTACGTGAGAAGTCAAATTTTTAATAAGGTCACTTCGTATTTAGGGCCTTTGATTTGCAATGCGTTTCTACTTTAGTCAAGTCTCACACTCTTGGAACATCGAATATACTCGTTTCTCTGAAGGAAGGTGGGAAATATCAGTGGAAAGCGCCAAGCCATTTCAAGCATATAACACTTGGAAGGGGTCAGGATACGGATTTGGGATAGGACGGGGAGAAGGAATGGTGCCCAGCCACTTGGACAGTCGGGTTTTGAACGCCGACCTGCATTTTGCGAGACCGTCGCTCTACCGTCCAGCCCAAGTGGTTGGATAGGGGGTAGAAGTTAATTTTGGGTTGTAGATCCCCACGCAGGCACAGGTACCTTAGGCGAGAGGCGGACAGATGAGCAAATAATAGTGCTACTACTTACCTCGCTAAGTCTTGATCTTCTAGACAATGCCTATTGTTGTATTCACTTTTGTATATGCCAATAGAAGTTCAGCTTGTCTATGTTAAAACCAAGAAATTTACCATGTATTCTGTGCATTATTTGGGAATTGTTAATTATGTTAATTTGATTGGTGTACTTGTTACCAGGACAATATGTAAAATGTTTTGTCAATGTTAAGGGTTAGTTTGTTAAGTCATGATGGACTTATTTTTTTAGTATTCACCGTATCATTTAGAATAAGTGGGGTAGCATTGGAGGTAATGAAAGCTGTCATCAGCATATGGAATTGGCTTCAGGAAATGGGAATAACTTCTTATATTATACATAATAGTGCAGAATATAAGGTATATAACTAACTTTCTTGGTTCAAGATTTCTATTCTTGATAATTTCTGATATAACACCAACGCAATTGCTACTAAACGAATACCGAGCATTTATAACCGGTTACGGTTTAAGATCCTGTGAAGACTAGGCTCTTTTATAGTATTAATAGCATATTATCAAAATTAATTTATAGTAACTGTTCGATCATCAACCCAGTCTTATAAAAATCATCCTCAGAAACTGATCGAACGTACCAATATGTACTGTTGGACCTCCAAAAAATTCATGTTTGGTATATATATTTATTTACTTATTTATTTATTAATTATATACAAGAAGGTACATTGGGGGTTAACAGAGAACATAGAAATTAAGTCCAATTTACATTCTTGTAAAGTCACTAGCACGCATAGCATTTCGGGCAATTTTTTTTTATTTTTAGAGGCTGAAAAAAAGGCTAAATTCCAAGCTTAAACAATCAGGCCTAGTATAGCACATAGGCTTAATAAAGTGCATATAAGATAACGTATAGGCCTGGGATGGCATGGACAGGCTTGGTTAGATTCTTTGGTTACATTTCCAATTTTTTTTAAATGCCATTTGGACTAATTCAGTAATAAAATACTTGAACTTTCTAGGGTCCATCAGTACATATTAGTGCGTTCAGCCGAACAGTTCCTATACGTACTCTCACTTTCAGATGGGCTGGGAATTTCGTTTTTTTTTTGTTTGTTTAATTTGAATAATTAACAGGCAAGGAAAGTTGCCTGAATATAAGGTATATAAGGTATGTAACTTATATAATGTATATAACTTTCATTTAACAGGTGCGAAAGTGTTAATGTACGCCTTTGTCCCAAAAGTATAATTTATGGCATTTAATGACCTACAAAATTGTGAGTGTATAATTATATGACCTTTTGAACACCTTGTAATTTTGTCTAACCCATGTTTCACATTCGTCAACTGCTGAATATTATGTGTTGGTAATGAGAATATATAATATTAACAACGACATACTATGGCCATAACCATCGGTCAGTGTCATTAAAGCAGCAGGAAAACAAACGCAAACACAAGTTAACTAAAGTCACTATGGCTGGGGCGGGGGGGGGTAATCTAAATTAGTGATGGCGGAGCCAGGAGGCACTTAGAAGTAATATTTTAATACCGGCAGGCGCCGCGTGCTCATGTTTAGAAGAAAAGAAATAGATTCAGCTACTGGGAACCAAAAGTTGCAAGTAGCACGGGCTATGGTGAGCCCATAGTGGACTTACCTGGCACAGGAGCGGAGCTGTGACCTTTAGTGCTGTGCGCTGCTGTTGTTATAGATTCAGCTACTCGGAACAAGTTCCAAGTAGCACGGGCTATGGTGAGCCCGTAACTTACCTGGCACAGGAGCGGGCCAAGTAGCAGGGGCTATGATGAGCCCGTAGTGGACTTACCTGGCACAGGAGCGGTGCTTTGTCTATGTTGGCTATTCTGTTGTTGTTATAGATTCAGCTACTCGGAACAAGTTCCAAGTAGCACGGGCTATGGTGAGCCCATAGTGGACTTACCTGGCACAGGAGCGGGGCTGTCTGCTGTGTGCATGAGGCAAGTATAATATACTGCAACCATCACCCGACCGTAATCCAACGGATTTTACCGGGAACACATCACTAGAGCGGTTTTAGGCTCAAATGTGCAAGTTTATACGTTTTGGCAATATTTAATTTATATTAAATATTAACGTGACTTCCCTATATACATTTCTAAGATACATTAACATATTGAGAGCTATGCTAACCACTTGAGCTGGACTGAAGAGCAACGGTCTCGCTTCATGCAGGTCGGCGTTCACTCCCCGACCGTCCAAGTGGTTGGGCCCCATTCCTTTTCCCCGTCCCATCCCAAATCCTTATCCCTGACTCCTTCCCGGTGCTATATAGTTGTTTTAGACTAGATATGTTAAGTGGGTTGCTTAGGTTCATGCGTTTTTCTAGTTAGATTAAAAAGTTGGATGTTTTACGGGGTGGCAAATCAAGAGAACGTGCTGCTTAAACAATGAAGGCAAAGAAGGTGACGACACACAACTATATCACCACAGGTAAATGTCCCACCTCTATAAATATATATCTTCGTGTAGACAAGCGAGTGATGAAAAAAAGGAGAGTTTGCTGGATGGGCGATTCTCTTCAGGCATAAGGATAACGTACGTTTGTGAATTATTTCTTCAAGTGAGAGAGTAAAAAAATAAAAATATATTATAGTTTGCAGCTAGAACAAGAATAACTGGAACAACTGGTAAGAATATTCTTATTAAATTATAATTTGAAATACTTCAAACTGTTTATGGCCGTATCTTGCAGTCATTATCACTAAATTACTACAAGTGAAAAAACTGCTTAACCACTTTTAACACTTATCGACCCCGTGAACGTTAATTCACTCGTTATGGTCCAGCCCGTCCTCTCGAGTCGTCACAACGGACAGAAAATGATGTACTGGACTCCCCCCTTTTACTCCTTGTACTGAACTCCCCTTTCCTCCCTTAACTTTTTATTAACACATTTACGTACATCTGCATTTGTGCAGCTACCCTAGACCATATGAAGGGGAGTACAATGTGCTACAAAACTAGCTACGTGGTGCTAAAATCCCCATCACACAGGATGGTTAGTTATACAAAGGCATGTTATAAGTAGTCTGTACTGACAGACTCTTGGTGCATTATGAGGATATCAACACAAGAGTGGATAAGGTAGCAGTGATACTAAATGTCCCCATTACGCAGGATGGTTAGTCATACAGGGGCCATATGTTCAGTAGCCTGCACTGGCAAATTCGTTATGAGGATATCCTCAAGAACACGAGAGTAAATAATTGCGAAGCTCCAGGTACCTTATGCCAATGGGTCTGTAAGGTCTGATAACTGGGCATTCGGTGGTGTAGTGTGCAAGCTTATGCCGCACTTCCTGCTCAGAGTTTTGCATCTGGAGTGCTCAGGATTGGGAGATCCGTCACCTGTAGCCACCTGCCACAGGTAACAGTAACCCAACCTGATCCTGGCTACCACTGTGTCGCACAGTCTGCTGGATGTTTTGTGCTGCCCATAAATATAGGTTTCAGATCTGAACAAATCACAGCTTTTTATACTTATGCTTTTAGGTCGTTGGAAGTCGGTAATTTCTCTCCTATCAGACCCGAGTGTTTGGAACAATATAGTTTTGACAGCAAAGATGGTGATACCTAGGTTTAATTCAACTTTATCTTTGTTACACGCTAATTTGGCTGTAATGTCTGTGTCATTATGATGGGTTATATTTATGTATGATGGTTTCCATACAAAGGAGATTCAAAACCCTTTAATCTGTGCAGCAATTAGGTCATTTATAATTAGTAGTATGAGGTTCTTGTTGTCGATCTTCCAGGAGAAGTTTTCGATTGCTTGAAGAGCAGACTTTGAATCATCACAAATTATTCCTCCTCCTATGTTTCTTTAATGTTCTGGTAGGTAGTTGTAGTGCCGCTAGTTCTGTTTGTGTGGTCAGCCAACCCAACCTAACTTTAATGTTTGCGAGGCTGGAGTGAACCTCGGTGTAAGCCTAACATGTATACATTAAATACATTGGCTGCCTGTCCCAGACAATGGACTAGTATTATATTCTATTACAATAATATGGAGACAAAAACCCTAGAGCGAAAGACTAGACCAAGCAAGGAGAGAGTGAAGGGGCAGTGTGATAAATGAGAGCGTGGGTGATGGGACTGGGATGGAGGGTAAGGCAGGAAGGTAATAACTGGCTATACTCAGCCACCAGACTCCACACCGCTCCGGGTCACCGTCCGGTACACTTGCTGCGTCGCTCCTTCCCTTCCCCCACCTCGTTCTGAGATGACTCGTAGTCCATTAATCACAAACACCTGAAGACCACATTGGAGACCTCAGATTGGAGAGCTCGTTGGAGACCACATGCATACCCATAAATATCTTCAAAAAGGTCTTCTGAGCAATTCACCGAAAGAGAGAGCGGGGAGGCGATTCAACTGGCATCGCCAACAGTGCAAATGTTCTCCAACAGCCTTCCCTAGAGATGCTTCAAGAGACTTTATACAACGTCCAAGAAGCTATGTCTCATAGTGAAGAAGAGAAGCCAGTAATACCGCCGGTGGAGGGTCCCGAGGCTGCTAAGTGGGAAGAGTACTTCAGGTGTTTGTAATACACATTGTTAACAATACATTAAGATAATGGTACATAAACCGTTGAATACATTAAGCAGTATGGGGAGGGGTCAGTACCTGTATTATTAACCAGATTGTGGGTAAGAAAGCTATTTTTTTTATAATATTTGATTTATATAATATTAAAGAAGACGTGATTGCAAGGTATGGTATTTGTAATTTCATTAATAGTCACTAATCACGGAGTGTGAGGTTTGGCAGAGCTGGTAGCGGCCTCGGTGGTCTGTTGATGTTTGCAATCTCTCATCTCTCAGGCTTAAGACGGATGAGCTACAAAAGCACCACGAGAAGTTGCAAAGGCAGTTGCAGTCGACTCTTCACGACAGGGTTGGGAAGTTCGCGACCACCTGCACTGCCCATGGCATCCTCCCTTTATACCTGTAAGATCTTAAAGAGTAGACACCCTTAACGTAAACATACCATAGAATAACTTGTTATCGTCAGATTTACTTCTCAGGTGAGTCTTGAACCTAAAATCCATACATCTGTGGGGAGGGTCAATTTAAATGCATGTTGACTAGGCTTGCCTCACATAGCCTATCATGGTTGCTACCCAACATACGATTATAGGCACTACTCGATACAGTTCCACCAACCTGCTATTTTGTGTTCGAGGAAACATTGTTCTGCTGCCAATATCATGATGAAATAACTATATTATGATCGCTATGCAGTGTTTCAACCTCGCTCTGCTGCAGAGCTAGTGTAACCTCGGGCTGCTCTTGTGAGATCTTAATCTTTTGTATGATTATATCGTCATATAATACTCATTTCGTGTTGATTGCTGTGCTTGCTTTACTTTGTTGTGTTATGGTCACACCTTAAATTGTATTTGGTTAATGAAAATTACTGTAGGGTCTGGTAATGTATGTATGTGGTGAACGGATATGCTTGTGCTCAAGCGCCAGTAACCAGGATTCGAGTTTTTGAGTTAATCTTTTTTGAGTTATGACCTTATATTCTACTGTTATGATCTTATCCTACCGAGTTATGACCTTCAACCAACTACAGTCATTATATTATCCCACTGTGTTATTACTTTAATTGTATTATAACCTAATCCTACTGTTATTACTCCTGACTTGTGTGCTATGACCTTAATCTACTATATTAGTACTCGACAGCATCACCTTCCCATAGTGCTTGGCTCTAACCTTCCATATTGCCGGGCAGGAGCCGAGGGTGGTGCCGTAGGGCGGTGTGGGTGACGGTGCTGCTCTGTATGGTCGGGTGGGGGTGCTACCAGTGCTACAATGTCACCACAGAGTACCTCACTTATCCCAAAAAGGTCACCATTGGGGTAAGTTTGCCGCGAGAGGTACACCGGTGGTAAAGATTCATTGTTCCAGTAGATAGATACTAGGCTTTCTCTAGTTAACTATCTTCTTGTGTTAGATTCCTTTCTCTAGTTAATATATATGTATGATATTTGTTCACTCTAGTCAACTATGGTTTATGGTGTTAATATTTGTATTTTATTTTTTAATTCAAACATTTATGTAATAAGAATTTGTTGAACTAAAATAGTATATATTGTTAACATGCTTGTAATGGGTTAACAAAGAGTTCCATTGTTTTATTTAATAATAATAATTTATTTAGGAATTAGAATTAGAATTTATTTATTAGAATTTACAATTTGTCTTGAAATAAGTTGAAATTAAATGTATCTTTGTGCTTTTTAGTTTATTATTGATAATTTGTTAATATTATCACTCCAGTTTTTATGCTGTTAGTATATACTGTATATTTTTTTAGCGTGTATCTCATGATCAGAATTTATTTTTAGCTGGCTATTTTTATACTCTGCATAATTATATAGAAACTATTTCGCATTAAACAAATTTGGGTAGAATAATGGGTTTTCATTTATATTTCTCTTTACTATAGCTCTAGAGAGACACTAATTGCTTTGGCTATCTCCTCATATGACTTGGATTCAGCTGCCTCATTTTACTGAGCAGTAAAATTTACTCGTCGTCTCCTCCCTCTCTCTCTGTCCCTCTCTCTCTCTCTCTCTTTCTCTTTTGCTCTCCCCAACAGGTGGAAGAGGCAATTGTGGTTGAGTTCCCGGCGGTGACTGTGTGTAATCTTAACCCGCTGCCCAGCAAAGACCAGCTCAGGAACGATTCAAAGTGGATGCCCATCGTCCAAATTGAGGACGACTACAATGAAAACTGTGAGTCCTATCATTGTGGTGGATTGTGCAATATGGTGGGGGAGGTGTAATATGGATTGTGATGCGGAGTCAAGTGTGAATGAGGTGGATTAGGAAGTGAGGTGGTGGATTTGGTAGTAACGGAACAAGTATGATATTGTTGATTTTAAAATATAAAGTTTTAGAGTGCAGTAGTGAGTGTGGTCCCAGGTTCGATTCCCACTCAGTATGGAGACGTTTTGGCACATTTCCTTACACACACACACACACACACACACACACACACACACACACACACACACACACACACACACACACACACACACACACATTAGTCAACTGTTTTGCATGCTGTGAAAGGTCAATCGTTGGCAAAAGAGAGCTTGACCAGACTCTCAAGATTCTCAAGACAATCGACTTTCCTATCACCAATCATTTGGTGATAGGAAACGCCCAACTATTTCTGTCCCACCCGGGAATCGAACCCGGAATTCCCGATTGAGAGTCGAGAATGAACCAGACTGTAATACCGAGACCCCCCCCCCATGTGGCTAGTGGGTTTGGAAGTAATATGGTGGATTAAGGAATATTTTGGCAAAATTAGGTAATGTGGCAGGTCGATTTGGGGGGTGTCATTGCTCTTATTTGCAATTAAAGTGTGAAACATGTTACAGCCTGCGGAGACTACAGTCAGTCTGGCGACACCACCACTGGCGGCACCACCTCCACACATGAAGGTATCGTACCATTGACGTACTCATTCCGTCTACGTATTTCATTACAATTCATTGTGTCGGGGGACAAGCAGCTAATATATATATATATATATATATATATATATATATATATATATATATATATATATATATATATATATATATATATATATATATATATATATATATATATATATAGTTATTTTTTTTTTTTTAAAACCTAGAAGGGGTACCACCTCTGGTGCAAGTGTAGAGACCCATAGCCTCGGAGAAGACAATAAAGAGTACTCAGAGAAGACCTTGTGGATCCTCACTGAACACTTTGATATTTTCTTCTCCTACCACCCCTATTCTTTTGGTATGTGTGTATATTTATCTAACTTTATTTAGCCCTAAGTTACATTAAGTTATTTTCCAATATTTAATTATCATTCCATTTTAAAATTTGTTCACAATCTTAAATTTGTGTATATTATGCTTAGTGAGTTGACTTTTTATCCTTATTGCATATGAATGTTATTATATATATCTGCATTTAATTTTCTTTTTTCTTTCTTTTGTAATTCTCCTTCATTGTCTGATACGTCTTTTTTGTCATTTTGAATGTTATTTTTATCTGTTGTCAAGATCCTTCCTTGTCTTATGAAATAACAGGTTGAGTCTTTCTTCTCATTTTGTTATTTTATAGATTTTTTTTATAACAATCGTCTAATTTTATGTATCATATCATTTTGTTATGATCCCTGTGTGGTCCAAGTGTTTGGGTACCATTCCTTTCCTCCGTACTATCCCAGCTCCTTGTCCTCAGTTTATATTATTAATAATGTAGAAGTTACAACAATCATCTGCACTTGTGTGACTATTGCAGTTACGGGCAACCACAATGATACACGTGGAGTTGCTTCAGGCAGCTATGATGCAAGCACTGACGCAGCAGCAGCAGGAGACGCTGGAGAGGACGCTAACTTACCCGCTCTAAGGAAGACACGAGCCGCCCCAGGTGAGGTGTTTCCACCAATGGAAGAGGACCCGTTATCAGGATCGATAGAGAACCCGTCACTCAACAACGGAACTGCAAATGCTAATGGACCTACAACACAGGAGGTAGAACATTCAGAGACCATAAATGAGAACACGGCAAGAAAAGTGAAGCCAGGGAAGAAAGGCGAGGACAAACCAGAGATGAAAGAGGAGACGAAGGGCGCAAGTGAGCAATTCCGGCGTCTTAAGAGACAAACTGGAAATGTAAAGGAGGACAATTTTGCATCACGAGAAAGGATTCGGTTCTTAAGTTTTGACGAATTTAACAAGGTACAGTATGTTACTTTTGTTCTCTAGTAGACTTTGGTGCCAACTGTTCAGTCTTGCTCTACGGTATCCGAGTGAACATTTTATTAGGAATAATAATTGTTCCTCATTGCCTGCCATATATATATATATATATAATGAATGGAATTAAAGTGACAGTGCTATAAAACTAGTATTAACAATTTATGAACATAACATGATATTTCATGTTTAAATAACTTGGAGAATTTAGTAATCACTAATTAATTTTCTAAATAAAGGTTTATTTAGCTACATTATTCTTTAGGCTGCATCATCAGCTCCAATATTGCTGTAGTTCCCCCAAACTTGCCTCTTACCTATACTGCATCTCTTCTGCCTATCTGCCCTAATATACAGGTGGGTACAGTGGGTACAGGAGCAGATGACTTTTGACTTGTCAGCAGACTTACAAAAATTCCCTTCTTAAAACACATCTTAAGCATTACCATACTAGGTTTTTTCCCCCTGGAACACGGTACACCACTCGGTTTACAACCAGGTCCACAGCTACTGCTGAGTGAACAGGCGTTTAAAGAGTTAATGATTGGTGCCCAAGCGTCCTTCCCTATCCCGGGCTTGAACCCGTCTATGTTCTCTGCCATATATGTCCTGTGCCTTTCCTCTACCGACATCTTCTCTCTCCCTCCTATTACTCAACATTTTCTGTGAATAATCTTGTAGTTTATTTCTCATTTTTACTTTTTCTTTGTAACTTGTTTTACTGTTGTCCCATATCTTATTGACATGGGACTTATTGTCCCATGTCAATAAGACATGAAAGGAACGTCGTGTCAACATTTTTTAATGTCCTTTCATGTTCCTCCCATGTCTTATCTTGTCACATGTCTTCTTAGCACTGGTCCCTCCCATTTGTTGTCCTCTTCCACCCCTTACTTCTGTCCCTTCCCTCCTCCCCATTCCCAGTCTCACGTCTCACCATCTCCGCAGGTCAATAAAGACAGACTCATAAAGTTCAACAACTCCACAACCTATAAGGTTCAGATGCCCAAGAATCGAGGGACAGTGAATATATCTGATGGTGAGTTTTCATGATCTTCTTGGCCATTGTGGAGCATATTAATTGTAGATGCTGGCTCAAAAATCCATATCCTTTAATATAAATACTTAATTTTCAATGTGTATCTTGATTAATTATCCAAGAAGCTTAAGTGAGGTCATTTCAATGTCTCGCGATGTGTTTGAATAATGTTCTTATTAATGTAGTAGTGTGCTTAAGAATATCAAACTAAGGTAAATCTCAAAACATTGCAGGATTCTGATTTGGTAAGAATATTTAAATGAAGAATCTTTAGTAAGGCTATATTGACTCGTATGAAGCAAGGCAAGCAATTATCAGGATAAATCACTATGTCATTAGGACTTTAAAACACTTAGAAGGGGTTAGGATAAGGATTTGGGATGGGACGGGGGAAAGGAATGGTGCCCAACCACTTGGGCGGTCGGGGATTGAACGCCGACCTGCATGAAGCGAAACCGTCGCTCTACCGTCCAGCCCAAGCGGTTGGGCACGAGGCGTTTAATAAATATTTTCACCTATTTCCACTAATGTACGTCTCTATAACCAGGCTACTTAAAACTTTACAGTGGAGTAGGTTTTCGCGATGTCTTTAATATCAGATTGTTCTTATTATGTTCTTACATGGTGACGTCTTTCAGAAATTTGCAAACTTTTTACAGAACTTAATTTTTACCTAATTTGTCTTGAGTTTATATATTAGCATTCTTTTTGTTAACCATTTTATCCATTTCTACACTTCATCCTATGCCCCTCTTACTCTACACCTTTGTACGGAATCTTATATTTGACGTTTCATTTCACTTTCTTCATAAAGAAGCTTCCTAGTTCTTGGTGTCAATTATGTGGCCATCACACGTAATCCTCAGTATCCACACCACAATTTTTTTAATATTTTAATAAAATACAGTAGTGGCTGTACAAGAATGTAACAACTATTGTATATATCTAAAAAAAAAACAGTGGTTACTTAATATTGTTAAAGCATTTGTATTTGTGATAAAGGCAGTAATTATACGCATCATCTCCGGCGTAACACAATGTTTTAACTCACAGCAGATGAGAGTATACGCCTGAACTGCACTGACGGCTACTACAGGTTCCTCCGCTACCTCAACACCAACCATGAGTCTCTGAACGACGACGCTCCACTGAGCTTCGAAACCTCAAACAATGAACTATGTCAGAAAGGTAGGCCATCCGACTCCTGGTTCAACCTTGACGACGTGTCTGGACACCTACTCTGCCTCGGGGCCGCCGGCTCACTTTACGCGATTTTATCCACAGGGTTTTGATACTGCCGTCTGGCATTCCTATTCAACGGTCCGGATTGTTACGACCCCTGGCGCATATATCGCCCGAGGTCACAGGAAAGCTGATAGATTTTGAACGCTTGCTGGCTGGTTCTTCGGGCGGGAAGACGGTTTTCGACGCCGGCTTAGCAGAGGTGCCGGAGTTAGCGGGTCTTGGTCCGGGTGTGACCCCAGGGCGTGGTGGGCGGCGGGCTCTGCCGGTGGTGGGGGGGGGGGGTCGCACTGAAGACTTTTTGCGTTTTAGGATGGGCTGTGTTTTAGGTTTGAATTTAATGAACAATAATAAAGGAAACTAATTATTGTGCATTAATTACATTCGAGAAAGGAGGTAATAACAGCATAACCTGTATAAGTTATCGTTTTTTTCTGAACAATTTTGAGTTGGATTATATTTGTCAATTTTTACATCATAATTGTCCCTTGAAAAATACCTGTTGAAGTCATTCAGGTTTAATATTAATTCTGCTTTTAATTATTAATTATTAGATATAACTTTTGCCATATACATTATTCTTTTTAATGATTTTTAATAATACTTTGTTTTTATTTTTTTAAGAAAACTACACCCTGGACATCTCGTTCAGCCTGATCTGTCGGTTACCTGTCTTCTGCGACAAGTTTGGCTGCTTCGATTACAACTTAAAAGGTGAGAAAATACTAAACTAAATTCTTCTTTCTTTGTGATGAGCTGAAGTGGTCTACGTTCTGAGCTCACAATCTGGGATCCCGGGCTCGATTCTCGGCCGGAACAGAAAGGATTAGGCAAGTTTCCTATCACCTGATGCGCTGTTCACCTATCAACAAATAGGTTCCTGGGAGCTAAGCAATTGCGGTGAGATGTATCCTGGGTAAGGTCAGTAATAGGACTTAGGGGGACATCGACAACGGGAATTATGACAAAGACATTGGCATTAAAGGCCGTCACTCTGTTGGTATTAATGCTAAGTCCATACCTCTACCAAGTTTGTCCTTCAGCCGTACTTGCAGGCATTATATGACGTTCTAATGTGTTGCATAGTCGTGCATAACTGGGATAATGTTCCCTCACCCGCCTGGGAGAGTAAACCCAGCTAATGTTAGTCCAGAGTGCCTTACGGGTTATTCATGCCTGTGCCACCTCTTGGGTAGCTTAATCTTCATCACTCAATCAATGCTAATCCACGGGAGACATCTCCTGTCACGCAGTGTGCAGTCGCACCTCCACAGATCTCCAGTATCATCTATTGATACTGGAAATGGCTCAAAAGGGCCACCACTTATGGGCTATTCATGCCCAAGCCACCTTTTGGGTGGCCTAATCTTCTCTCTCTCTCTCTCTCTCTCTCTCAATGCTAATCCAGAGTGGTGTTATCTTTAGTGGTGTTATCTTTCAGAGTACACAGCGGTCGTCAGTATGGATGATGGAAATCTGACGAATAACATATATTGTTCTTCTTGCTCCGACTACTGTTGGTATTTTGCCTGTAAGTATATATGCTCTTCTGTTTCCCGCAGGCTGTAAGTATATATGCTCTTCTGTTTCCCGCAGGCTGTAAGTATATATGCTCTTCTGTTTCCCGCAGGCTGTAAGTATATATGCTCTTCTGTTTCCCGCAGGCTGTAAGTATATATGCTCTTCTGTTTCCCGCAGGCTGTAAGTATATATGCTCTTCTGTTTCCCGTAGGCTAGTTAGTGATCATTTTTATTTATAGAGTATTTATTTAACTACCGGTATTAAGTTGGTCAGTTGACCAATCCACACACTAGAAAATGGAGGGATGACGACGTTTCGACTCTATCGACTTGAGAATGGTCCAGAACGGACCGAAACGTCGTCGTCCCTTCATTTTCTAGTGTGGGGATTGGTCAACATACTTCAGCCACGTTATTGTGACTCCTCGTCTGCTTAAGTTGATCACTTTTTACTGTCTCGTGTTTCTATTCAATCTAATATCTAATCCAGTTAGATCAAATTATTAGGACCAATGTGGGGGTAAGGGGGGGGGATGTCTTTGACAAGCCGCCGGCTTCCTGTCTCCTTCGAGGCCACTAGTGCTAATGGCCCTTAAATAAATCAAGAAAATGAGATTACCGAAGCTTCATGTAAAAATCTTCAACAAATGGTCGGAGTAATTCTTGTGAAATATCTTAGTATAAGTACACAAGTAAGTAGTTTCCAAAATGAAACCAATAAATAAGAAGTACCAATAAATATAAATAAAAAAATAGGTTCTCGTAATAAAAATGTTGGAGAATTTAATTTGGTTAATTGAAGAAAGGTTTTGAGTATTCTGTGTGTGTACCTAATGATCATGCGTAGAGTCTAAGGTAGAACCTTTACTTCTCGAGTCCACTTCATTATGCACCTCCGTTCTTTGTTAGTATACCCCATATGTTTGTATACCCTTGTTCAGCCCGTCCTCCAAACAAAGATCCAAAAGTGATTCCATGCACCCGCCAAACCCCCTGTTTATGAATGAAAAGCGGTTTACACACGACTCGACTGCTGACGTTCGAACATATCCGGAACAAGTGTTTCACTGACGAATTTTGTTCGAATCACAACGCTATAAATGCTTCACCCACGTACTACAAATAATCGCCAACAGAACCTAAACACCTAACCTAACCTATGCCTATATATGCTATTATAATATTAATTTATACTTGAGAAAATTCCCGTTTTGAATGAACAGCATATTAAAATTTATGAATGCGTCTGTGGGGTCGACCGCTGGATGTAATGGACTTGAGTCGAGGACGGGTTGCCTTGTTTTTTGTTATACCCGAATGTTGCTTGTTAGTATATCCGTCAGTTGTTAGAAATAGCAGTCCGATGATTGTCTGCTTTCAGGTTTCTCTGTTCATGTTTACAATTTGTCCTCTCGTATTGTAGTGCCCCCTCATGTTTATATTCAGTTGGGCACGTTTCCTTTTACCTGATATCTCTGTTCACCTGGCAGTAAATGGGTATTCAGAAATTGGGCAACTGTTGATTGTTGCGTTCTGGAGAATGTCAGTAATTGGGCTTTTGGTAGTTTTTTTTTTATTTTTACATGCGAACATGGAATACAATAAAACAAATACAATAAAATAATAAACCAAGAACAGACATAACAAAACAAAATACAAAAGCACAAAACAAAGAAATACAAATACACTAAATACCGGCCTGAAGGGCCGACAACAAAAACATAACAATGAGCATAAACACAATGGAACACAGGAAAAAGAAACAATACCGGACAGGAGAGTAACGGAAATACAATAAATACAACAAACAACACCGGCCTGAAGGGCGCACAATAGGTACAACACATTGCAAACAAACCACAGGTCCAAGCACACACCAAACACACAACAAGCACATAGACTACTCAAAATGCTCATACTTATCCGGCCACTCCGCCGCCGGGAATCGAACAATACGCCTCCCAAAGTAACATGACGTCATCCGGAACAGGTTCATTATGAACCGTACGAGGATCAGGCATCAACTCCGGCACACCCACAATAAAACACCGAGCCCGCTGAACCCAGATGGGAGAAGGGCACCACGGAACAGGACGCACGCGGTCAACAATGTCAAACCGCAAAGGATTCCGAGCATCATACGCCACGCCGGAGGCCAAGACGTGAGGGAGAGGCTCATTCCCACGAGGCCGGGCAATGGGCAGCGCACTGGGAGCCTCCTCGGCTGCCTCACAGGGCCCCGCGTCAACCACCGGACGTTGTACCTGCTGGGACCCCCCACGCTTGGCATCCTTCTTCAGCACCAGCTTGAGGCCTCGGCTCGCACCAGAACTCTCACCATCCACGTCTGTAGGAGCGACCACCCCCCACTGCGGAGAACCTTCTGCAGGAGAAAAAACAGGAAGTAAATCATACGCACGACCATTATCATCAGCAGGCACATGGACGTCAGCAACCACCAGCGACGTAGAGCGCGAAGCGCCCGGAACCGCCACATCATCGCCCGAATCTCCACCGGCGTCGAAGTCCTTCACATCAGCCCAAGCAGTAGAAGAACGCCTGGAACGCTTGGGCACTGGCCGCACATCCTCACCGCCGGAGGCGGACCCAGAACCACGGGCTTCACAAGCCGTGCGAACCGACGCCCGTCGCAGTACGGCAGCAGCCTTAACCACAGGGGGAACCGGGCCGCACACAATAGGACGCTCCGCAGCCGTAACACCTGGCGAGGGCGCAGGGCCAGGCGCAGCAGCAGGAGACGAGGAAGATGGAGACGACCCACAGAGACCATCCGGAAGACCCTCGAGAGCAACTGGCACAGCGAATTGACCAGCGACAGGAGCCACCGGAACACCCGGAGGAGGGACAACAACCACCGGGGGCACGTCGGGTGACGCAAGGGGGGGCCGCATCAGCAGCGAACGAGACCTGCCCCTCTTCATTTCCGGAATCCACGCCCTGAGGGAGCGGCGGAAAATCTTCTTCCCGGAACAAGTTGACAGGTGCAGCAGGGGCCTCAGAGCACCCGGCAGCCTGATGCCCTAACTGGCCACACCGGAAACAAGTACGGGGCTGCCGGGCATAATACACCCGAACGTAGTAACCCAGCAGCCGGACAGAAGATGGGATATCCGACCGCAGGCGCATACCTAAGGTACGGACGTTCGTCTGGTTCCCAGTATGGTTCCCAGTATGGTTCCCAGTATGGTTCCCAGTATGGTTCCCAGTATGGTTCCCAGTATGGTTCCCAGTATGGTTCCCAGTATGGTTCCCAGTATACTTACCCGAGGAAAGCGTGTTCACCCGCACACTGATGACCGCACCATACCTCCCGAAGTAGCGCCGGAGAAGGTCTTCAGGGAACTCCAGGGGCGCACCATGTACACTTACATAAGTCAGGGCACCACTGCGGTCCGAGACCGCAACAGAGCCGGTGCCATCCGGCAACGGCAACGAACGCCCTTCGTACCGACGGAGGAAGTCCCGATACTCCTCCCTCACGAACTTGATAATCACCCGGTGGGCCGTAACAAGCTCAACTCCGTAGACAGCCTTCACCGGGACACGAAGCATGTCGCACATCACCAACTCAATGGCTGGATAACCAGCCTTACACGAGAACTCCAGTCCCACGGAATTCACACGTAGAACAGGAGGAATATGAAGCCCCCCCCCATGTCAGAACTGCCACGTCAGCACGCAGCCAGGCAGGCAACAACACTGGGTGGGCAGAAACGCCCCCACCACCTGGTGACCAAAGTGGCAAACAACCCCAGTAGTCACGGTGGACGGGACACGTCCGCACGCCACGGCTGCTCAGGGCGAACTCCAATCATAAGGAAGTGGATTATGAGTAACCATAAAAACAATTTAGGCAGGTTACTTATCCCTGTGTTCTGTACCTTGGTGAGCCGCCACTTTGTAACTAGTAACTCTTAAGTCAGTATTGTGTATATAATTTATTACTAGAGTATGGTATATAATTATTGATAACATTAAATAATTCTGTTTTCTGATGTTATGTCTGGTACAGTTCCAAATGACTTGACAGGAATGTGTTACAGGGTTCAAGGATACTAGTGGCATCACCCAGGAAGGAGTAATCAAAATTCTCCAAAACAGCCGTACACCTGACCTGTCTGACGTGATAGACACCTTCTCACCCGACTCTGAAACTATTGAACGATATAAAACGCCAGCCGATAAATTCATCATCACCTGTAGTCATGACCGGAAGAGTTGTTCCCATGCGTGAGTATACTGGAAAGTTCTGTTTAACAACAGATCAATCGATCATGATGTGTTAGGTTCACGAGATCAGTTAAGGTTTGACTAGGATAGGTTAGAATATATCAGTACCAAAACAAATTGGCAGAAGAGAGTCCTTATAGAAGGAATTGTAGTCCTTATAGAAGTCCTTATTTTGAAGAAATTGAAAGTCCTTATTTTTAGTCCTTAGTCCTCAAGAAGTCCTTATTTTAGAAGAAATTGTATTCCTTATAGAAGAAATTAAGAACTGTTAGAAATGTTTTTCCAGTACTTTTGTTCGACTATATGTCTACTTTTGTAAAAATATAATACCGTATATGCTTAATTTATTGTGTAATTAAGGTCTTCTGAGACAGGTTTGAAAAAAAACTTGTAATTTACATAAATTTATTTTAATAAGGGCTGAATTTCCCTGCATACATCTCAACAGCTGGTAAAACAAAATCATAGCTAACTGTCATTTGTCTTCTTGGCCGCGACATTTCTTGCTTTGTATCTTTACTTTGTAGAGATTTATTTATTTATTTATACATAAATACAAGAAGGTACAATGGGTTTGAGAGTACATAACACTGTTTACATTCTTGTAAAGCCACTAGTATGCATAGCGTTTTGTGCAGATGTTGATGAGCTGGGGCCAGATTCACGAAGCAGTTACACAGGTACTTATGAAAGTGTATATCTTTCAGTGTCCGCTATCTGTTGCTTAGTGTCCGCTGTTAGCGAGGTGTTTCTTAGGCTCCTGCTAACATTTACTGCACGCTCGAAGTAGCTTCTGAATTTGATTATATTTTTCAAATATAATTTTCAGGACAATTTGGGTTTGGGGTGGAAATTTGACAAGCCGCTAGCTTCCTGTTCCCTTTCGTGTTCACTATATGTATAGATGGTGACCCACGGGTAGATATTTAGTTTCACAAGTGTTGCGGGGACTGGGAAGGGGGGGGAGAGGATGATCAGGGGAAAGCGCCAAGTCATTAAGACTATACAGCACTTGGAAGGAGTCAGTTGGAAGACTGGAGAGACAGTCATTTGTTCATGCAGTTCCTGATCAACTTGAGCACTAGTCATATAAGTGGCCTAGTGCTTTATCATGATTATTACCTTACCCTGAGCATTAGCACCCAATTCAATTCAATTTCTTTCTTTATTATGCACCCCATACCCATCCCGTGGGCGGTGGTGTAAAGGATTACAGAGGCACATTGTTCGGTTGATTTGTTAACTTTTGAAGCCAAATTTGTCCTTGGTGAAGAGATTTATATACTCCGTGTAGTTGTTGAGTCTGCTGAATATTATTTTCTTTGAGCAGTTGCTCGTTGTTTCCAGGCAAGAGGATGGACAGTAGTTGTCCGCCTGCCAGGGGCCAGATTCACCAAGCAGTTAAGCAAGCACTTACGAACGTGTACATCTTTCCTCAATCTTTGACGGCTTTGGTTACATTTATTGAACAGTTTACACGCATGAAAACTTCCCAATCAACTGTTGTTATTGTTATAAACAGCCTCCTGGTGCTTCGGACCTCATTAACTGTTTAATAAATGTAACCAAAGTCGTCAAAGATTGAGGAAAGATGTACACGTTCGTAAGTACTTCCGTAACTGCTTCGTGAATCTGGCCTCTGGTGTTATCTTTACATTTAGGTACAGTATATAGATCGTCTTTGCTGCATTGAAATCAACTGTTTTATATGTTTTATTCATGGAAATGATTTCGTGAATATAGTTCTTTTAATATTTCTCTCTCTGCAGATTTTTCCCCGTGTTATACCACTCACTTCCTTCAGTTACATTATAACTACTGTACGATTCCCTCCCGCATTGATTTTCCTCTCTGTTGCATATCTCGGTATACAATTTATATTTTGTTAATTAAATAATTTTAATGTACAAAATTATGATCTTAGAAATTTCTTGGAGTGGACAAGTGATCAGTATGGGAAGTGCTACACGTATAACTCAGCCTTCAAGGCCGGGTACAACAACACAATCATTAACACCAAGCCCAAGAAGACCTCCTCAGTTGGCCCCAGTGTGAGTACTGTCCTCATGTGTCACATTCATGCTGCCTATTTCTCAACTACACAGGCCAAGGAAATGCATTAAAGACATGGCAGACGTATTCAAAAAATATTTTGTACTTTTGACATATTAATGGTTAGGAATGTGTTAGTTTCATAAATGTAAGAGCGATATTTCTACCAGCTTTCAGCAAAGACAAAACAAATAAGTTGACTGTATTAATAGGGTATAGGTTTGGTTTCCTCGACTTGATGCTAGTTTATTCTTCGTACATTTGGTTTTATTTTTTGTGCATTTCCTTTGGCATGTGAGAATTGAGCAAGGGTGTGTGTGAGCATGCATTTTTTTTCATTGTTTCTTGTGTAATTACTGGATTGATATTTATATTAAACTGTTGGCTTTAATGTTCACACTTAAATTTGGTTAATCTTCAAGACAAAATTTATTAAATATAAAATAATGAATAATATTAATAAAATTATTTACATATAATATTTATGCAATTATTGTCTCATAGTAAGTTTGGGACAAATTTCAGAAACTTGGCCTTGGCCAGGATTTATTAAACACCTGTACAGATCCCAAAAGTAAACATTTATCTTACTTCAATCATGGCGGGTTAGCTTACATTTATGAGCTCCAAAGTGCTCAATAATAACCTCTCAATCAAGAACGACCTCACTGCATTTACAAGGTCATAGTGTTTAATAAATAGAGGCAAAGCCACCATGGTCGAGGAAAGATGTACTGTCTATGTTATGTAAATAAATGTACACTCAAGTCCTTGATGAAGCCTGGCCATTGCCACAAGGGATGGCCTTTAGCTCTTACACTGTTTTGGATCACTAGTCACACCTGTTGATTAACAGTGATTGTTTTCTATAATGGGTCAGAAAAAGCTTATCTCGCTGGAAATTCAAGTCACCTGGAAAAACGGCGTGAAAATTTAATAAATTGCAAATATTATATTTCACATGCTAATTTTTATTTTTATTTATTTTGTAAATATTTCTGTGAAAATTAATCTTCACAAAATAATTTTTATTGTATATTATTTTATATCTAGGGCTAGTTACATTATTTTGATCAATAGTGTATTAGTACAATACTGTACAAATCTTTGCTTATTGACACCTCAGACATTGATTTAAGGTTTTAGCAACTGATGCAAGGTTGTTTTCATAAGTTCTCTATCAATCTAAATACTGTACTATGAGGTATTTAATAAAAAAATTAATATAAAAATGATAATTGCTGGAGTATTGTGCACAGTTAATATTGTTCGGAATATTTGTCCCTCCTCCAGAATGGCCTCCGGCTGACAATAAACATCCAGCAGAACAACTATGTAGCGTTGTTGTCTCAAGAGATTGGCTTGAGGATGATCGTCCACAGCCCCTACCAGCTGCCCTTTCCAGAGGATGAGGGCTTCAACGTCTCCCCTGGCAACAGTATCAATGTCGTTGTTACCACGGTGAGTTAAGTGTGTCATTGAGTTGTTAAAGTGGGATTTGTCTATTAGTGCCCTAAGAATCAGATTATAGTAGTATATAATGGTAAACAAAAATGTATAAGTTGTGAGCTACCTAAAGGAGATTGGTGACTACATCACAGGAATATTAATAATTTAAAATCTGCACAGGATACAAGTTAGCATAATCAAAAATGAGATAAATGGCTGTTAAATTACTATAATGAAATTTTCTGTTTCATGGTCACTAAAAAGAAAGTTTCTAAAAATGATTAGAAAGAAGTGTATCCATGGTCCTGTGGTAGGTGTTGTAAACAACGGTTAGAAAGTTCTCTGCCCTATAATAGCAGCAGTATTTTCACTAAAATCTGCACTGCCACACCTAGAGAGAGAGAGATATAGATAGATATATATATACATGTATATATAATATGAATGTATATATAGATATACCTACATATTGGTATATACTGTACATGAAAGGTGTACACCCCAAGTTGATTGTCTTAAACCATGTTGAAGACTAATGTCTACTTGCACCTTAGACATTAAGCTATGTGTAGCTTCAATGACTCGTGGCCAAGAGGTCTCGAGCCCTATTGCATGGTAATATACTGACAAGTGTAGTCTAAAGAATATTTGCAGATTAGACAGTAAAGCAGATTATAGACTTATTTAACACATCAGTTGAGAGGCCTTGATGCTAAACTAACTCAACACATTAAATGCTAAGTTTGTGTGTTAAATTCTAATCAGCTTTATAAAATAAAATGGAGTTTGTGGCATTTGCCTTGAACTAAACTTTTCACTGACCAATGTATGAATCTTTCTTACAATTTTAGCTTAAAATGAATTAAAATCAAACATTTTTAATATTACAGTGTACTGTAATAAAAAAAAAGTTGGTAATATATTGTATCGCAACTGGATTGTAGAAGAAGCTGGAGAAGGTGGGTGAACCACACGGAGATTGCAAACTCAAGGGAAAATCTCAAATCTTCAAGGAGTACTCCTCTCTTGTGAGTATCAACCACCCTTTCATCCCCATCCCACTCATACTGTATATGTACATTACCATGTTTTGCCTGATGGTAAGCTATAAAAGTGACGTTTAATCACTGTAGGATGAATGCTGTCAGTGTTGATTCCTTGTTACATCAACATTGTTTGTCCAGATTTGCCAGGGAACCCTTGCTTTCATTTGAGCGGGAAATATATTTATTTTGTTCCTTGCTGCTTTGGGATGTAATATTTGGAGTGTAAGGGCCAAGAGTACTAAACGAACTTGATAATTATCATAAATGTCTCGTAAATGTCTCAAGCTGCATAAAGATTGACTAAATATTTGTTCATAATTCCTGCCAAACTCTAGTGAAAATTTTTAGATTATTTAGTAAAGTATTTTTTATTGCAGTGGGCAATGTTTTATTTTTATTTAATGTTTGACCCCCAGATAGTTATGTAATTATTAGAAGATATCCAAGGAATGCCCATTTGCTAATACAGTATTCACTTATTTTCACATGTAAAATTACAGTAAAGGGTTAACATGAATTTTTCCTGAGAAGCTCCAACAATGAATAGATTTACTGTGATTAAAACTCTCAAGTTCTTTAATTTATCAGTGAACCTTCATGTATTACAACTGTACTCGTGTGTGATCAGGTGGTTGTTAAAAGACCAGATTTTTAGAATTGCCTTGCCCAGAGCACTGATAGTAAAGATAGTCCCAAGTGAACATTTTATTACCTCCAGATCTTTAAATAAAGTACAGCTTGTTGTTTGAGCAAGTGTCTCTTTCTAAGAATGGAAGAAACAATCTAGCAAGGGCATCATCATGTGGGTTTTTATGGCAATGAATTTGATGCAGTAATATATTTTTTTTTTTTTTGCAAGTTTCACAATGTTCTGTCAGTAATAAGTGCCTGGTGTGTTTATCAACAGCGATGCAAGAAGATATGCATTGAGCGGCATTTCTGGATAATGTGTGGTTGCTACGTGGGTAAAAGTCCAGTCTATGACATCAAGGGTTTAATCAAGCCTAATAATTCGTGTTCTCTCATCAATGCCAAAGAAAGTACGTTATTTACCAGCTTGTAAAACAGCTATATAAAATTATCAAGAGCATAATTTTCATATCAGTACTATATGCATAAATTAAATTTACCTTTTAGCATTGATATTCTCTCTTTTAGGATGAAATCTGTTTGCTAAACATAATACCTAAAGCTTGATTTATTATCTTTGGCAGAGCTGTGCATGGATAAGGTGATGTTCTTATATCAACAGCAGCTTCTAAACTGCATTTGTCCACAAGCCTGCAAGTGAGTTCATCATAATAAGCTTGATTAAACATCTATGAATCTATATACAGTACTGTACTCTAAAGTAGTCAGAAGATCTGATCAGGGCTCATTGATGAAACAAGCAAAAGGGTTTCATATAATAGAAGACTCTTGAAAATGTAAAATTTTATAACTATATATTCAAACAATTCATTATGCCTTTTGCTCTCATTTGTTGGAAAGATTGTGAAAAAATCTTGAAAAAAAAAATTCTTAAGTAATAATCAATTGTGCTTCTTTTATCTCTAAAACCAGTCGGATCTACTACTACAGTTGACCGCAAAGTGGAACAAGTCTCGATTGTGGAGAAAATGGCTGTTATAGCCTTGGATATTGATCAATCATTTAAATAGGGTCTTTCATAAAGAACTGGTGTGTAAGCTAAAGACACTTGGAGTTGATGGGAAGCTTTTGCATCCTATTGAAAACTACTAAAGTAACTAAACCTCCCAGGTTTTCATAAACAATCATTCCTCCAACAAACATACCATAGAGGCAAGTGTACCCAAGGGTAGTGTGATTGGACCTCTCCAGTGGAACATCTCCAAATCACATCTGACAAATACATATCAGTCTGGAGGTTGCCACAACTGACTTCCATCTATGATCTAAACAAAGAACTGTGTACTTGCTAAGCCTGTAATAAAATGCCCATAAACAGATCCTACAATGTCCTCTTATGTCCACAGGGAGACTGTATATGAGAGTCGGGTGACATTAGCCGAGGAAAACAGACCTTTCTACAACATCATTCAGAAACTACTGAACAGAACATTGGGTGACAGCCTGTGTTCGTGAGTTATTTCTGCAGTAGATATCTATTAGCAGTTTTTTTTATAGAACTCCTATTATTGATAACATACTGACCAAGAAAGGGTTATGCTAAGCTTCTTTACCATGAATAAAAATGAGTTTTTAAACATGATTGTATCTGGGGAGATAAGTGGCCTGCAGGGGTGTATGGCATTGGTACTGGAGCTGTTATTGGAGTAAAGGAAGGGCATCATATAGTTTGTAACTAATATGGAGCGCAGTGGTTTAATGAGTGACATAACAAATTGAAACCTAAGCATGAGGAATGTTAGCAAGGGTTTATACAGTATTGTAGCCTAGTTCACAGTTACACTGAAGACTTCAAGGTTAGTTCAGTGACATAATTTTTAAACACAATCATGTAGATTGTGTTTAAAAATATATCAGGATATTTAAGTATGCAGTGTACCATAGTGTATATACTGTATACACATAAAATAATAATTTTTTTATCCCATAGAATATTATATTGATCTTGTACTCCAATTCCCTCAATAGCTTTGGTTCTAATTTGCAGTAGAACAGTGTTAATAACTATGACAATGCTATAGAGCAAATCTACTTCTCTTACAGGAAGAAAACCGGATTAGTTCGCATCCACCTGTACCTTGACTCCCTCACTTATGAGATTATTAGAGAGAGCCCTGCATATACAGTAAGTTCCATTCACCGTTTCTTAGTGCTACAAAATGTAGATTACATGCAGAATTTGCACACAATTTACATGTGCAAAATACTAATTTCTATACACATTTGTAATAGTGTGCATATTCACAAATGCATATAGGTACAGTATTACATATGACATAATATGAATATTAGAATGTAAGTGAAGTTCTGCAAAGAGAAATATGTAAGTTTTTAGTTGGGTGTACTTGAAGCTCAGGAAGCTCAGCCTGATGGAAAACTCTGCACAATGTGAAGAAACTCGTACCAAAATGCACAGAGGTCACATAGATTAATTTCATCTAGGAAAGAAGCATATGGCAAGTATGCTATTAACCATTGGCTTGATAGGCAATGCTATAAAGCATAAAAAAATATATACAAAACTTATAGAACAAATAACAAACTGGAAGGGCAAAAAAATAAGACAAGAGCTAGACATAATGCCAGATGTATCCAACTCTATGGGAAATAAATGAACAAGTAAGGTTCAAAATGAGAAGTTCCAACTTACTACCACCTTGTTCAACTGAGACAAACAAGCCATAAACAAATACACTTCAGCTTCTAGAGTAAATATGGTAGGAAATATGAATGAAATTTCCCTGACCAAATGTCAGCAGGAAAGATGGGCATGTGGAGCTAATGCTTGACCCTGCAAAGCACACCTCAAATGCTCCCCTCTTGTATGCCCAGGATTAAACAACACATGGAGGTAGGGTAAGATATGGATGGTGGGGGATGGGGGGGAATTAGCATTTCAGTTACAGTAATTTATAGTTAAGGAATACACAGAAAATATAAAAGTGCTGTTCTTCAGTACAAGAGGAAATTCAAGTGAACTACACACAACTATTCTGAATTGAATGAGTCAAAGAAACCAGCTAATGCATGTATTTACACAACATGACAGGAAACATATGCAACTAGATTCATCATTAACTGGCAAGTTTAACACTTGCCAGTTAATGTACAGTTCTCAATGGCAGTGAGAATAACTGAGGTATGGAGAGCACCCCTCACTATGAAGAGGGGTGCCAATCCAACACGTCACCACCCTTGACCAAAAGCAAGTCTGCAGTGCCGAGGGTGGAGAGAGAATACTTGTACACAAAAGCATGGCACTATTACTCTACATCACACTAAAACAATCTCTCCCATATACAACTTCACATACTTGCAAATACTGACAATGTATAAATAAAAGTAATATATAAAACTGACATATAATAAAAATAAGTGCTAGACATTATAATGTAGCTGGACTCAATTGATGGGCCACTCTAGGGGCGAACCTCATTTGTAGATATAGTATATTAAAAACATACCCAGAGACTATAACACTGAAGCATGTGAAGATAAAGATAACTACTTCACAGGTAGCAGCAAGAACCACCTGTTAGGTACTTAAAAGGAAGAGAGCACTAATAGTGGCAAGACTTTAGAAAGGGCAGTGACAGGGATCCTGACAGCTGCAAATGGTAGGGACAGAAAACAAGGGGAGGATTTCAGGCTAAGCTGATACAGCAAGTAATGAAATAATTTAGTGTTCACAAGAGGCAGTCTTGGTGAAGAAATTTCAACATGTACCAGGTCCATGCCAGGCAAGACATTTGGGCATGTTTCCTTACACCCAATACCTTTGCTCACATTTACTGTTATAGCCTTCTAGGCTTAGTGCTTTTTCTTTACTGCAACATGACCAAAGTAATTATAAACAGATAACTAAGAGTTAGGTGTTATGGGTCACACCTGTTTGGTACCTGCTTGATGGGGTTCTGATTGTTCTTGTACTCCCCAAGCCCGGCCTGAAGCCAGGCTTGACTTATGAGAGTTTGGTCCACCAAGAGTTTTACACCCCAGGAGATGGTTAGTTACTGTTGTAGTGCATCACTGTTGAATACAGTTGGGTGACCACACAGTTTCCAAGGCAGCAGTGAGGCTAAGATAAATCTAATGAGCTTCCTGTCCCCGACAATGAGAAACATAGCATCTTTGGTACGGTAGGTGCTAAAAGAAACTTTACCCCTGATGATAAAGGTACTAAATCTAAAGTTACTAGAAGAGCAAGAGAGATTGAAGATATGAGTATAACACAAGATACTGAAAGGAATGTACAAGGTAGTCTTTTTCCATATTAAGAAAAACAGAAAGAAGCACAATCTGTCAAACAGGTGTAAGAAAGTGCTCATATTTAATGTGGGTTGAAACCCTTAGTTGCAGGGTTTATGGAGGCCACCTCCATTCACAGCTTCTAGGGCAAATATGATGGTGTAAATTCACACATTAACATTCTGGTACAAAGTAGAATAGCCATAAGGTTTGATCCCAAGATCTTGGTTCTTGTAGCCACAGTTAAGTAAGCTGACAGAGCACACATTTGCAACATGTATAGACATGTAATGCATGAATGATAATGAAAACACATAGCAGATGAATGCACGTGGAAATTTACAAGTATTGAAAAGTTGTTTTATTGGTATATCTGAATAAATTCCATAATTTAAGAAAATGGCAAATAACTGTATGTTCTGCTTACATCTACAGTGGGACACACTTGTCTCCAATGTTGGAGGTGCCTTAGGGCTGTTTATCGGCATGTCACTCATCACCATTGTGGAGTTTTTGGAATTAATGGTGGATGTAATCCTGCTCTGTTTTCAATCAAGATGGAAGAGCAAACCAGATTCGCAGATGAAGACCGTTACTCCAACACGAAGTACAGTACACAGTTTGAAGCCAACTTTCCC